TCCCATGTCAAAGGAATACAATTGGAACAGTGCTACTGTGGGCCTCATTCAGTCTTCTTTCTTCTGGGGATATCTGCTCACACAGGTCTCATCGAATTCTGGATATATTTGTGCTTGTATGTAGTCACTGAGTTTAGCCGATATCTGCTCAAAACAACTTTTGATGATTTGAGCTAGTTGCCATTGACCTATTGTTCAAAGCCTCATTTAGTCACAAAGTCTGCTAATTATTTTTTTTATTGCTACAACACTAAAATATCTTTGTTTTGTTGTGAACTATGGATTATTATGTATGGTATCCTTCAGAATATCTTGTGAAGCCACTGTACTTAAATATCATTTATCTAATTATGTTGCTTAGATTGCTGGCGGGATTTGGGCAGATAAACTTGGTGGAAAACTTGTATTGGGGTTTGGAGTAATCTGGTGGTCTATTGCAACTGTTTTAACACCCATTGCTGCTAAGGTTGGGCTTCCATTCTTGCTTGTCATGCGTGCCTTCATGGGTATTGGAGAGGTCTGCTGCATAAAATATCCTGCTCTCTCATATAAAACTCTCCTATAACTTAGCCTCATTATCTCTTGTTCTTAAAAAAGAGTGATTTCATGTCCAGGGTGTTGCTATGCCTGCTATGAATAATTTACTGTCAAACTGGATTCCGGTCTCTGAAAGAAGCAGATCTCTAGCACTGGTATATAGTGGCATGTATCTCGGTTCTGTCACAGGCTTAGCCATATCTCCTGCTTTGATTCAGAGTTTTGGATGGCCATCAGTGTTTTATTCCTTTGGTTCCCTTGGAAGCATCTGGTTTGCATTTTGGTTGAGAAAAGTGAGTCTTCCGCTCTTGTTTTTTGATGCATTGTAGTACTTCATTAATTTGTCCATATGTTCCATTATTAAATGTTGTTCCTGCAATCTCAATCATCTAATGGACATGACAATATCAAGTATCTTAACTCATCGCCGTCTCATGATATTCTCAAGTATGTGAGAAAAACCTGCGATGGTGACGATTTAAAGTTTTCATCTCACCAATTCTTCTCTTGAAGGTTGTAGGAAGATATAGTGTTAATTAGTTCTAACAATTATTTGGCATTGTAAATTTAATGCTACTCACTCAACTAGTTGGGATTGAGGTGATGCTGTGATGATGATGGCTATGCGTAGGTATAACACATATGATAACTGCAGTGGCATTTTATGTCAGTGTTAGAGCTCGGTTTAAACAAAAAGATGTCTTATATTGTACTCTGTATAAATTTCTATTTAGATATTGTGTGTTTCACTATTTTGCCTCCTTTAGGCATATAGTTCTCCTAAGGAGGACCCAGGGCTTAGTATGGCTGAGAAGAAGTTGATCATGGGAGGAAGTGTTTCAAAAGAACCGGTCACCAACATTCCATGGAGGTTAATCTTGTCAAAGGCGCCTGTATGGGCTCTTATTATCTCCCATTTTTGCCATAACTGGGGCACATTTATTCTTCTGACATGGATGCCTACATACTATAACCAGGTTTTACGTTTTCTTTATTCTCTTCATTGGTGAAGGCATGATCTACATTTCTACTTATATGCTTAGGAAAAGGAATAGTGAAGTACTAATATCAAATCTTTATAGTGTTGTTAAGGAACTTACCACACAGCACGGAGGAAGTCAAGTAGCCTGGGCTTGAATTAATTAGGATTCTTTGATCTTCATGGTTGGATTAGTATTTTTTTCATAATTAAATTAGATAAAGATTATTAGATTCTGTATTAGACTATTAGTTCATGTCATTGTTGTTGTATTTAGTTCAAAGCTTAAATGATTAATCACATAAAGATTTGATAAAGTCAACCGTCTGAGTTTATGTCAAGAACAGGGCCCCATATCCCTCCCACTCTCTAGCGCCTATAATGATTAGAGTTCTTCATGCCCAAAAGTTCCCAGTAAATTAGAGTAGTAGACTAAGTTTCTGATCATATATGGGTGTTTATTTAGGTGCTGAAGTTCAACCTCACTGAATCGGGACTATTTTGCGTGTTACCATGGCTTACGATGGCAGTCTGTGCAAATATAGGCGGTTGGATTGCAGACACTCTTGTGAGCAAAGGATTCTCTATAACATCAGTTCGCAAGGTAAGGACTGTGTCATTCTGACATGCATCTATATAAAAAAGCTAGTAACCAGCCTTCTCATACCAATATTTAAATTTTGTAAAATCTGCATTCCTCTCAAATTGCAGATAATGCAATCTATTGGCTTTCTAGGACCTGCTTTCTTCCTTACCCAACTTAAACATGTGAAGACTCCTGCCTTGGCAGTGTTGTGCATGGCATGCAGTCAGGTTTGCGCTAGCTAAAGATGTTGCTTGGCTAGATTATTGTATTTGTCTTGGCTTTAACTGTTCTTCGGATCTTCTCTAGGGATCAGATGCATTCTCTCAGTCCGGTCTCTACTCCAATCATCAGGACATTGGACCCCGTTATTCAGTAAGTTATTTCAAATGCATGCTGGCCAGTGTTTTTGTTATTTTTTCCCTTTTATCATGTGTGGTTTCTGGGAACATAACACTATAACAGTGATACAGTTCCAAAAAATAATCTGATTCTGATATCAAGGGTGGGAAATGGATATATTGATTAATTACTCTTCAGCTCTGCTCTTCTGATTATTATGGATGGGTTGAAAGCAGTCCATTTATGGTCTATTTAGAATATACTTAAAATTCCAACCCGTCCATGATCTCTTCAAATTAATTACTCTTTAGGTCTCTGCTCTTCTGATCTCTTCTGATTTATGGTCTATTTAGAATATACTTAAAATTAATTACCCTTCAGCTCTCTTCTCTTCTGATCTCTTCTGATTTATGGTCTATTTAGAATATACTTAACTTTCCATCATTTGCAATGGAGCCAAAGACTCACTAATTTTTGGCTTGAGAATATGATGGAATAAAGCAAAATAGTTCACTAAACTGTCCGCGCTTCATTGTTATGAAGTAGAAGCCAGTTCATGCAATTTTGGACGCGATTTTCACTATGGGTCATCCAGAAAAGCAGTCTCTCCGTGCTTTAGTACAGGGGTAAGACTGCGTCAATCCGACCACCCCTTACTTCACTGTAGGTGGGAGCCTTTGCGGCACTGGGGTAATGATAATGATGATGATGACGACGAAGGGATATTCAGTCCATCAATTTTAGTATCATTTTCATTTGTAAAGATGATGATGGGACAATGCAATATTATGATGATGATACTTTAGCATATATAATAATCAAATAGTAATAAATCATTATTCATTGATAAATGCACAAAATCCAATGCATCAGTTTTTTTTAACGATGTGACTCTTAATGTGCTTATGCAGGGAGTTCTATTGGGACTATCTAATACAGCAGGGGTTCTAGCCGGTGTTCTTGGAACAGCAGCTACTGGATACATACTACAAAATGGTAAAATTAAAAGCAGCTTTTATTGTCTTTTTGCAAAAGAATTATTTCACTGTCATGGATAAAAGTGTAAAGTGTGATTTCAGCCCAACACTTGTGCGACTCTAACAATTCTGGCACCTCATTGCCAACGTTTTGCAAAAATTTCACTGATTGTACCCTCAGTGGTGGTTTTAGTTTTAGTCCCTACCAGATATGTTATCGGAGATGGATTAAAATCACCACCATTGGATACAACGAGGGATGTCTTTTTGTGCCAGCACGGGTTGCTCAACTGGTCCTCAGTGGGTAAGTTGTCGAGTCTACAGTAGCGTCAGTGTGAGAGTTACACTTAGTGTGACTGCTCCTTGTGCATACTGAGCCGCCCTTCTGTGGAATCATGTTAGATTGAACTGTATTTTAACGCTTCGCCATTGCTGGACCATGGTGGGCCATTACACCTTCTGAGTCCAAGAGTAAAGGAATAACATAACTAGTAGAGTAAAAGAGCAAATTACCCTGGATAAAAATGATGGTAAAATTTCAGTTGACATGATGATGATGAATAGATGATGATGGTTGCATGTGGTGGCAGGATCATGGGATGATGTGTTCAAAGTTGCAGTTGCTCTGTACATCATAGGCACGTTAGTATGGAACATCTTTTCAACAGGAGAGAAAATTCTTGATTGAGAGTTGTACGAAACATCTATCTCATCATCCTATCTTTATTGAGAAAAACCCAACCCGATGAAACAGATGCAAACGAAGTGTTCCATTAGTGAACCTAGAACACGTTGCTAAGTGACAGACTGAAGTGCTGTGCTTCTTGCAACCTGGCAGTTGTCTTCCAAAAATTAAAGGAAACCCTCCTAGGTTGGAGTTATTGGAGTGCCTGAATATGGAGTTTTGTTTTTTCATTTTTTAAGCCAAGAGCTTGGGTAGATGGGAGGATTGCCCATGATCAGTTGAAATCTTTCTATGGATCTGTAAAATTACTGGTTTAAAAGTCTATATGAACCAGCTATGTTTACTGTATTTGGCTTGCCTTTACCTTTTGTCGATCAGTTTTGGCTCAAGTTTAGATCCGCATTTTATTTGCAAGACTATAATCTTGTTCCTACCCATCAATCAAAGATTGTGAGGGAGTTCTTCGGTTCTACAACACTCGAGTTCAAATCTTATCAAAACTAAAAGTTTTGTGTTCTTTTTGCGTTAAATTATGCCATTGTAGTGAGGAATATCCATTTTGGAGGAATTTTGCTGCAATGAGTGAAAAAAAAAATAACGCCTTTACCTTCTTTAAATATGCTCTGCAATATTTCCCTTAATTCATTGCGATGATATTTGTATATTTGGATTTGTGTAGCTTGATAAACACGGATTATGTAAGTTATTTGAGTTGCAATGTGTAGTCATCAAAATGTTTAATTTGCACTGAAATTTTCCATATGGTCAGATCTAAATTGATTTGAAAAAGGAATATATCAGTTTGGTGTGTAAAAAATTTGGTCGATTTGGTCAGATCTAAATTTTCCATTTGGTCCATGTAAAAAAATCTTAAAAATTTGGTGTCTATCAGTTTTACTCCGATATTGCAAGCGAATGGCAAAGTGGCTAGCTCATAACATGACTCAAAATGCTGCTTCTTATTAACAAATCAAAGTAAAACTAAGACAGACCAACATATATATGAAAAAAAAAGAATCAAATAAAGAAAAGAGCTACACAGAATATTGACGGGTATAGTAATTTTTGTAATAACAAAAAAATGAAATAAGAAAGAAAGAATAGAAGAGAAAATAAATACACACAAGAAAGTCAAGAATTTGTCCAACTCCATACACCCTGTCTGCAATGAATGTGATGTACCTCCCTTGAGAACACTGTCTTGAGCTGCCATCCATTAGACACATCTTATGCCAAAACAACATTAATCATCATCCATGTGAAAAAACCTCCCAAAATGGCTCACAGCACTTATGGAAGCTCACACTAGCACCAGCTACCCTTTCTACCATCTCCAATCCTTAATTAACTCATCATCCCAACAACCACACCAACCTCAATTACTACACCATAATCAGGGGAGATTTTCGGTTCGGGCTTTTTGGGTACCCGTCCATTTATCCGCCCAGTCCAAACTTCTATTTTACATGAAGTATGTAAATTTTTAGTTTTTGGTAAAAAAAAAAAGTATTTTTATGAACTATTTTCTTGATGACCCACAACCTTAATCCCTGCTAAAATGGGGCTTAAGTCTCTGGGATGGATATCTACTTTTAGCCCATATTTCATGAACAATGTCAACGACATTTTCTGCTCCACTTTGTGGCCCGGCGTTAGGGTCAGCCGGTGCCGGAGCAACACGGCGGCGGCGATTGACTTCATTTGCAGATAAGCCAAGTCCTTCCCAAGACACACCCTCGGACCGGCGTTGAACGACACGAACCGGTACTGGTCGTGCGTCACGAATGACTTCCCGTCAGCGGACAGCCACCTCTCCGGCTTAAACTCCAGACAGTCGTCTCCCCATGTTGACTCCAGCCTCCCGGCGGAGTATATGGAGTACGTTATCGATGAGCCCGCCGGGACGAATGTCCCGTCGGGCAGTACATCGTCAACCACCGCGTGTTTGGAGTCCTCCGGGACCGATGGGTACAGCCGGAGGGTCTCCGACAATGCGGCTTTCAGGTAGACCAGCCGGTCAACTTCCTCGAACTGCAGCGGCTCGTCCAGCCATGCTGACGTGTCGGATCCACGTGTCTCGAGCAGGACGGAGCAGACCTCGTGGAGGATTTTCTCCTCCACTTTTGGGTTCTGCATGATGAGGGAGAAGAACCAGCAAAGGGCGACGGATGACGTGTCACGTCCAGCTAGGATGAAGTTGAGTGCCACGTGTTGCAGGGTTTTGTCCCCGTAGGACTCCTTCTTCTTCATGAACCTGGAGAGAAGGTCGTCGTGGAGCTGGTCTTTCTGTTGAGCCGTCAGCTCGAGCCGGCGCGCCGAGATGATGCGGGACATGTACTGATCGAGCTGCTCGAGGCTGCGGCTCAAGCTGACTTCCATTCCGAGCCGGAGCCATTTCTTGACCTTCCAGATGACCTCAGGGAGAATGAAGCGCTGGAGGGAGGCTTCGGTGGCTCGGTCGAAAGCCAGCGCGAAGGCGTTTTCCGGCAGCCCTTCAGCCAGCGTCTCCGGGTCCTTCCCGAAAGCCAAGCCGCATATGTTGTCGAATGTGAGCCGTAGCAAAAGATCTTGCAAATCTACGGATTTTCCTGTTGAAATAGTGTACAAATATTAGCAACGATTACCAAAATTTGTCATACCTCCTTCAAAAAAAATTGTCATACCACTAATTTGGTATTGTTACTAAACTGATGTGATTAAAAAACATATGAAATTCCCGAAATCTGAGTAAAAGATTGAGAATTTCAAAATATGATTGTCATGTTTTTATTCTCTAAAAAGAAGTAATTAGTGTCAAGTTTGTAAAGTAATGCTATCTTCAAAATATGCTACTGCCATAACATTACAATAATTACTCTTATTTAGAGAATACAAATGTGATAGTTGTATTTTAGAATATACAAATGTTTTTAATTCTATTTAGAGTGATTTGCCTAAATAAAAATGAAAGTTATATATACTAATGTCAGTTTTAGTAATGTCAAAGTTAACCAAAATATAAAAATGAAACCATGCTAAATATTTTATAAAATTGTAGTTGATCCTATCATGAAAATTTATAATGGGATTTGTACTTTGTAATAACCAAGTATTTGAATAAATAAACGATCAAACATTAGTGAAACTGTGAAATACTCCGTATAACATAACGTGTAATGTAATACATAGTACTATCTTCATCCGATTCTATTATTAATAGAGATATTACCCAAAATAGGACTAAAACAGTTTGAAAATTCCAAAATAGGACTTCCATATTTTTATTCCCGAAATAGGACTAATTACTGTCATGTTTTGGCAATACCAGACTTTAAACATGGCAATATTTTTCAAGTTTGGCAGTAATTAGTCCTATTTTGGGAATAAAAACATGACAGTCCTATTTTGGAATTTTCAAACTTTTTTAGTCCTATTTCGGGAACTTTCCCTTATTAATAATGTTGTTGTAAAAGTAAAAGCTACGGACCGGGTGTAATTAAGTAATTTAATATAATAAAGTGAAATGTAGTATACACATTTTGGTTTTACTAAGGAAATGTTATGCGGAGTACTCAGGAACAACTTCACCAATGTAGATGTACAAGGTGTAGATGTACAAGGTTGGAAAAGTTTTAGCAGCTTTGGTAGCTAAGATGCCACAACTTTTAAGGCCAATTCGGGTCCTACCAATTGAAGGCATTGAATAACTTTTTTATAAGCTATATAAATTTTCACTACACAATTTTTGTTTAAATGCATCACGTTCCTACACCTACCAAAAGATTTGAAGACCCATAATAAAACAAAGGGTCAAAGGCACCGCATTTTTTACCTCAACATTTCCCATCAATTGGCCGATTGATATGGAAAGTGAGATAATGTGAAAATTAAAACTGTCAATTAAACTGACAGTTTTTTCAATACCTATACTATTGTCACTTTTTTATACTACGTAATTGATATGTTTAATTGACAATTTCTTTTTCTTCAAAAAAACTGTAAATTAAACATATCGATTATAATGGCATTTCATATTATTAGGTAATAATTTTTGAAAGATTTGGTGATTTAGTCTTCACTTGTCTCTTATTAGTCATAAAACTCAAATGAATCATAGACCATATACTCCATATTATATATGCAACTAATAGATTTATTCACTTTTTATCATAATTTCTAATATCATGTGAAAATGTCATTGACAACGGGGTCTTTTTTGCTTAAGACATCATATTCGGTTAAAAAAATCCTTAATCTAGATAAAATATTAGTCACATGATTTGATCTGATCTACAAAAAAATAAAGTTATATGACTAATAATAATGTAGATAAATTCTAAATGTAGACAATATTATTGTTACATGACATTAATGTATAATTGATTAAAATAATCCCACGATTAATAATGATGGTATATAAATTATGAACTACTACCGGATCAAGATAGAAGTTTTGATATTATTTCTGATTGTATTGTAAGCCGACGAATGATTTGATTGAATAAAACTATTATTTGTTTGGTTGTAAAAAAATTATGACTAAATCTAAAACTTTCCTTAGCTATTGTTGATAAATAGGAATTATGTAAATCATGTAATCAAATTTATTAATACCCATAAACTTAATTTAATAATAGTAATAATACAGGGAAATTAATGAAAAAACTCAAATATTATTAATTACCTTCTAGTTGAGCAGTTTGCAGTATGGGACAAAACCTCAACTTAATGGCTCTATTGACCCATCTGCCCATGGCCTGGCGGAGCGTGCGGGTGGTAAACTCCAGCGCGGCGGTCTTCCTCTGAAACAGCCACGTGTCGCCGTCGGAGTTAAAGATCCCCTGACCCAGCAGCTCATGAAAAACGGACTGCCACGTCGGACCCTTCGGGTAATTGTCGAACCGGGTCTTCAAGATGTGCTCCAGATTCTTCGGGTCGCAGGTGACCGTGACCAGGCCCTGCTTCCGGGCCAGGAAGGGGACGGCGCAAATGCAGGTCTGGTACGTGCCGCCGCAGGCCCGGAGGTTGTCGGCGATCCAGTCATGCATACGTTCGGAGTTCTCGATGAGGCCGGGCAGGCTGCCCAGAAGCGGCCAGACTCTGGGCCCCTTCAGGGATCTCGAAATGAAGGTGAACCAGAGGAGGTACAGAGTTACCGCGGTGAAAAGGAGCAGGGCTATGGCGATGCTGTCCATTTTAACTGCGTGCAGACGGGTAAAAAAGTGAAAATGAAGGGCCAATGGGATGGGAGGTGAATATGGAGTGGAAATGGGGAAAAGAGATGGGAGGGTTTTATAGGGCAGGAGATGAGAAGGGAAGCAATAAGTAGAGACAGACTGGTTAATGGATGGATTTGATGACCATCTTCTTCTCAATGCCGCAACCATAAATGCATCTACTCCCCCACCACTGCTATACCGTCGACCTTAGCTAGCCCAACAAGTCTTCCAGTGGACAAATTGTATTTGAAACGCACGATCCATGCGCAAAGTTTTGAATAGAAACTCTTACATACGCTGAGATTGACTATTTGACTGAATTTACTAAATTATACTCTCCCTCAAGAAAAGATAGTTTTCTTTTGTATATTGAAGTATGATATTAATAAATTATACTCCGTATTAAAAATTTAATACGGAGTACATTATATTAAAATATATCAGAGTTTTGATATTTAAAAGTAGATATCAAAAGTGGACTATTTTGACCAGTGAACAATGAACTTTACTAGTTTTCTTCTCTTCAAACAAATTCAACAAATTAAGATTGAAATGTAACTCTAATACTATACACGGAGTATTACTTATTTTGATTATTATACAATTGAGTTTGTGTAAAAAGAATTAGGCATTTAGTATAAAGTCAATTAATAGGTGACAACTCTGGTATTCATTTTAAAAATGGGGTATCGTACATATCACTCACTTGATAGGTCCACATCATTATATCGTTTTTAATTGGAATTTTATCAATTCAGGACCCGAAAGATAGATTAATTATCAATTCAGGACCCGAAAAATGAAACATATCGGTATAGGACCCGAATGATGGAAAACTATCAATTTAGGACCTAATATTTCACAGGTTTTGATTTATTTAATTTTTTTTATTAAATCCATTACTAATTTTTGATAAACTTTTCTTCACAAAAGTTTATTAGTTTAATAAAACTAATTAATATTTAATTTTTTTAAAAACAAAAATAATAATAAAGTTCATGACAACTTAGGTCCTAGATTGATAGTTTCCCATCATTCAAGTCTTAAATTGATAGTTTTCATCATTCGGGTCCTATATCGATACGTTTCATCTTTCGGGTCCTGAATTGATAATTAATCTATCTTTCGGGTCCTGAATTGATAAAATTTAGATTGGTTCATGTGGACAAAGATATGATACTTTAGAGGTACTATAGAATCTACCCAATTAATAAGGAGGTTGGTAAGAGAAAACAGATTTGTCAAAGAAGTTCATATTCAATCTTTTTTATCTTCATTTATATATGGGAAAAGCATGCGATTGTTACCGTAAATAGCGTAATACGTAGTATATATATTACTGTAATATAGCGTTATTTGACTTCTTTGATGGTTTCGTTACAGTGTTATTAATTAAAGTTACGGTCTACGTAGTATTAGACTATCACAATATTGACCCATTTAATTAATATTGAATTTTATATTATAAAATCTCTAATCATATTACGTTTGTTTTTGCGAAAATAGAACTTATCATGGTGACTAACGTAGTTTGTGTTGGACAAATAGTTTTACAAATTAATAGAATGCTCATTTTGGAGCAAACATATGCAACACGTCCACGTCTCTATAGGATTAAGTCCCAACATATTGTAAATATACTCCATGAAATGAATGTTTTCATATATGTTTTGTAGAAAACCATTTTGAAATGAATGAGAAATTGTTCGCCGAAAGGTAAGCGTGGAACTATATCTCACACGCACTGCCGCAACCGTCCGACTGGCCGGGTCTGGTTTTGGGTTAGGGTCTTAACCTGATTGTCCGAGTACAAGGCTTAAAGATAATTCTATTTGTTTGCTCTCAATTTTGGATAATGTTGAGCAATAGACACAAGTCACACAACCTTTTGATTTTTAGAAGGGTCATAACTTTTCTTTCTAAAGGTGTGTTTTGGGTGTATAGTCTCATGGTCAAAGCTCTATTTTCATATACATTTTGGCGTAGTAGTTTTTAATAATTTACTATGGCATTTATCTATTTTCATGAAATAGATGCTAAAAAATTCTATCAAAAAGTTCATCCGAAAAAGCCCTCTTATAGGTAAGTTCAAATTGGGCTTCCCGTCAGAACTACATTACGTACTCTCTCTACATATATTAGTATATTACTCCCTCCGTCCCTAAATATTGTTCCAATTGCGGTTTACGAGGTTGACCGACGATAAAGTTAAATGATCCCTATGAAAATTCGGATTATTTTTAGTAAATAAAATTTACATATTCAGAAACTACATTAAACTCGCTACAAAGCCTGCAAAAAATAATTCAACTTTTATAAAATTTTGATATAAAAAGTAAGAGATTAAGAGTGATTTAAGTTGACCAAGGAATAGTGAAATGGAACTTCTTTTAGGGACAGAGGGAGTACTATATTAGAATTATTCTGGTAATATGAAAATTATAGTGGCTAACTTTTTTTCAATAAGTACGTATTATTGCACAGCGTTATTAGCTTATAAGTTTTCATTGACTTAAAAAAAAAATCAAATATTGACATTCAAACCCATGCATGCATCATGCATATTTGTAGTCTACCCAGCATTGTCGTGTCCACTACGGTTCTACCGTATCATAATCACAACTCCACTTATTTGACACCAAGGCAGCTGGCTGCCGGCAGGTCGGCTTACCGATCAACACCTCCTCTTGTCTATATATGATACTCTCATAATCTCATTCCTTTTTACCTTTTTAGCTAGTCAGTATTGACTTTTCTAGTGGGTAAACTTTGATTAATCATTTTAACATCTACCAGAGTATAATTTAGTAAAAGCTAAGTAGCAGTCCGTATAAAGTTAATACTTGCATGTAGTAGTATTTCTGATTCTAATGATCTTTCCAACAAGATATGAAATGCTTGAAATGGAAAAACATACAACAATATATAATCAGATAAAATACTACACGAATTCAGAGTGAAATCGGAAATGTTTATGAATTTTAGGTTAATAAGTATACATTGGTATTAGAGCTCAAAGTGATCTTTCAAATGAGATATAAAACGTTTGAAATGGAAGAACATACAATAAGGTCTTATGATCAAATCAAATATTTAACCCGTTTTCTGTATATAATATAGCGTTTTTAGAGTAAAAAAACGCATATTTAACATAATTGTAGTCTTGGATTCGAAATATAGTTCATTAGGTAACCATGAACATAGTAAACCTCATCTCTAGCTACGCTAGTGACAATATATTACGAGTTTAGAATTTTAATTTGAAGCCCTGTCCCAGCATGTTTGACTTTGATAAATAGTAGTAATCAAATTTTACCTATTTGCCCACCCTTAAGATGAAATATATCAATAAAATTATGTTCCTACTACATGAATAAAAAATTAATCAAATAAAAAATGTTATCTCTTTTTCCCTCCTAATCTCTTTTTCTTTTGTTTTCCGAACTACTCTTGAGAGAGTAGATGCAAATCACTTCAACACCATTAAGTGTCTCTTAGGTTCCCAACACAAATTTTGGGTAAAATGTCCCTCATTTGTCCATGCTTAAGCTTTGATTCTATATTAATCATTCACTCAAGCTAGTAGCAATTTTGGACAAAATATATACTACCAATTCAATTATGATTTAAAATTCTTTGGTGACTAGTTTTACTTTTTAAAGCTCTTTAATTAATAGCTTGATTTAAAATTTAAAACTCAAAACTACAATAGATGGTGTTAAATATAATGTGGGGGTGTGATCCATACATATCATTAAACCAGCTAAGCTAGCCCATGGAATCTTTCCAACTAATTTCTGAGACGAAGGGGTGCTGGCCATTTAAACTTGTGTGGGCATTGAATGAAGAGGCCGGTATTGAATGAGATTAGTTGAGAAATTGTCGTTGGTAGGGAGAAGGAGGTGCCATTGAACAGAATGACGTACGAGAGCTGGCAGGGCCTCCTCAGTCAAAAACAATTTTATTGTTTTTATTATACGTATGTGTTTATTAATATTATTATTAATGACATTATTATTTTGCAAGAAATACTTCATCCGTTCTTTTTTAATTGCAACATTCCCCTTTTCACGTTTGACAACGCACAAGTTTAACCGTCATTATATTTAATTCTGCATTAGTAAAAATAAACCAAAAATCAGATTATAAAACTTAGTATTGAGAAGAATTTAACAATATTTTTTCAGAAAAATAATAATTCATATATATTAATAAATAAAATGAAGTCAAAGTAAAGTGCATGAAAAGTGTATATATTTCAATGTTGCACTAATGCGATATGGAGGATAGTACTACATTAATAATAAACTAGGGTTTTAATAGCAAGTTACTACATGTCAACAATGGTTATATATATCATGGGGGTGTTAATAACGTGAAGGATTGTTCCCTAGGTTACCACCCCATGTTATTTGGCAAATGTCTCGAATTCCAATTCACTTCCGCTATAATCTATCTTCCCGTCCGATCTTTTTAAGTTTGCTGTGTGGTTTACTATTAAAACTGTTTACAATGGTGGACTCCCTTTGTTCAAGAGTACGTGTTCAGCTGAACATCAATCCAAAATTTTGAAAATAAAATGTAAAAGCACATATAGAATGATGTAATGATTTATACTACGTATAGTACTACGTAGTACATATATTTCATAAACATTTGTTACCGTAAAGATTCTAAACCCAATGTGCATGCTAGTTTTTGTAGTTGAAAAATTTTAAAATTTCTTCAAATTTGTTGAATCAAATGGTATATATTATTGTGTAATATTTTAGTAAAAATAATTTTAAACACCCAAAATTTTATTACAAGGTCCGTCACGGTCACTGACTGTTTACGTCTAGTCTGATCAAATTTAAGTGTGGTCAAATTAAAGAAACCGATTCGAGTATACCCTATAGTATCTGATACGAGATCGTTTCCGATACGTTCATACAGTACCCTAGCTTAATCAAGTATCCGCTACAAAAATTAAAACGGTTTACGTCTAGTCTCATCTATTTAAGTCTGATCAAATTAGTGGAACAGATCCGATCGAGTACCCTTCGTAGCAACTCCACCAAGA